GGCCTGGGCTTCAGCTGGTAGAATCTCAATTAAGGATATGCTAGTAGCAGTTCTCAGACTGTGGGCCGTGGCCTCTTGGGGGGGGGGTCAAATGACCCTTTTACAGGGGGTCTAAGACTGTTGAAAAACACAGTTATCATAGTATGCTTCCAAACAGTATGGAAATTCCAGTCATGAAGTAGCAATGGAGGAATTTAATGACGGGGGTCACCACAACGTGAGGCACTGTTTTAAAGGGTCTTGGCATTAGGAGGGCTGGAACCACTGGGCTAGAGGAAGCTCTGAGGGTAGGCTTGTGTCTCGCTTTGGGGTCTTTGGTTTGGAGGAGGTGGGGACCCCCAGCAGCCATACCCTCTTGCCACTCTCCAGCTCTGCCCAGCTCACTAAGTGAGTGACTGGTTTGGTCTTTTCATTCCAGTCATGGTGACTTCCAATGGTGCTCTGTGGAATCTCCAGGGCTTTCCCAGGAGAGGCCCCTCATCGTCTGCCTGCCTTACATGTAAAAGATTCCACTTCAAATGTTTGTCTTAGAAGAGATCTTGCCATTAAGGTCCGTGTGAAAAAAAAATCAATGGATAAGCTTTATGAGTTCCCATGTGGTTCCTACTACCGTGGCTGAGTAACGTAGCCTGGCTTGCCACAACAAGCTCCATTTTATATAGGCAAGTTCCATGTTGAAATTCCTATACCCCGGATAAGCTAGAAATCATCGTCTATATTTTAACAGTCCACTCTCAAAGGACAGGCTAGAGTCTGGAGAGGTCATGGGGGTGGACCGAACACCAGGTGGCCTCTGCTGAAGTGGAAGGGCATGAGCCTCCTGAAGGAGATGGGCCAGAGACCCACTAGGGCAACTGGGGGAGCCAGTAGAGAAGAGAGTCTTGCTGTGGGATGGTCTGTATGTCAAATCTGTTGCTCTGATTGGTCAATAAGTAAAACACTGGTTGGCCAGTGGCCAGGCAGGAAGTAGGTGGGACAAGGAGAGAGGAGAATTCTGGGAAGCGGAAGGCTGAGGCGGAGAGACACTGCAGCCGCCGCCATGACCAGCAGCATGTGAAGACGCCGGTAAGCCACCAGCCACGTGGCAAGGTATAGATTTATGGAAATGGATTAATTTAAGCTATAAGAACAGTTAGCAAGAAGCCTGCCACGGCCATACAGTTTGTAAGCAATATAAGTTTCTGTGTTTACTTGGTTGGGTCTGAGCAGCTGTGGGACTGGCGGGTGACAAAGATTTGTCCTGACTGTGGGCAAGGCAGGAAAACTCTAGCTACAGAGTCTAGGGAGCATACGAGTTTAGCGCAGGTGTAGCACATACGTGAGTCTGAATTTCTGGGACTGCCCACCTGGGACTGAGAACACTGGTCTGGTGCCAGGATCGCTCTGGACTATATTCCACAGAGAACCGTGACACTGTCTGCTGAGCCCCACAGCAGTTCAGCCTTACCGACAGGCACAATGCTGGAGATGTTCAAGGCTGAGGCAGTGGCTCTACAGAGCTTGGAGGACCCAGGCTGCTTCATCCTGTCCCACCAGCCTTGGTCAGCTCGTCTCCAGCGGCAGCCTCCCTCCTGGGGGTCGAGGATGTGCCAAGAAAGGAGCGATGTCTGGAGGAAGAGCCAGGTGAAGCTCACAGCCGTCCCTGTGGACCCTGCTTGCCGCTGGTCAGGCCTGCCGCCGCTGTGCCTCCTCTTGAGAGGCTGGGAAATGCTGTGTTTCAGCCGACTGGAACCAGTTCAGGAAAGACAAAATGAGTGACTGTTTGGACAGTTAGCAGTGTCCTCAGGAGGGTTAGAGGCCTCTAAATACACTGGCTACTCCATCTTCCCATCACATGACACTAACTTACCTTTCAGGGTCCACTGGGTCCCCAGTGCCTTAGATGCCAGGTTTTGGCAAGATCCACACTGCTGGGGTGCCACCAACAGGCTGCCGGAAGCCCCACTTCTTTTCTCTTCCCAACAAAGCCAGATGGCAGGCAGTGTGACTCCATCTCCGGCAAGGTCCAGGGGACTTTGTCCCCCACCCTGCCTGGAAGGCTGTGCCCCCCTCCCGATGCACTTCCTGTGGCCCACAGCCCAGCCTCACTGTGAGTGAGATCTGCCCTTCCTCCTCCGTGCGAGCCCAGAGCCCAGAGCGAGTCAGCCCATCTGGTTCTGTTTCACTTCATGTTCCTCATCAGGGATGTGTTTGCCAGGAGTTATTTGATGTTCAGGAAGAATTCTGAAGCTTTTGAAAAGAGGTAAATAAAATCCTTTATCCCCCAAAGAGTCGTGAAATTGTGTTTTGCTCAGGAGGTGGCAGGCAGCCATGTGAGGTCTGGCGGCCCCTGCCTAGCCAGGCACTGAGGCTGAGGTTTCCTGACTTGTTAGCCCGTCAGTCCACATCCCCACTCCTCTAAGCCTTTCCTGACGCTCTCTTGGGATGCCCGAATTTGGGAACAGATGAGGGCTGCCTGTGGGGACAGCCCAGCTTGTCTCCTGCTCTTCAGCCAAGAAAGCTTTTAGGGAGCGCTCCTCCTGGTCCTCAGCCCTGCCCCTCCACAGCCCTGCATGCCTGGGAGCTCCAGAGGGGGAGGGGTCAGAGCTGAGTTCCCTGCCATGTCAACCCATGAAGGTGACAGAGGGCCTGGTCTGGGGTAGCTCCCCCCATCTGCTAGGGTCTTCAAACCACAACACAAGGGAGCTGACATTCCTCCGAGCTCCTTCTGTGAAAGGAAAGGTGACAGACATCATGGAGGTTAGGATATTTGGAAGGAGCTACTCCACTGCTCCTCAGGACTGCCCTGCAGAGGAAGGCCCCATCTCTCCCTAGCATCACCCTCTCCTGGAGTCCACACAATCTCCTCCTACTGCCCTTAGTCTGGAATTTCCCGCAGAAGTTTCAATGGAATGTCAACGTTTTCCCTGGCAAAATTTCCAAGACCTAGATCTTCAAGTCCCTTTAAGCCCAGGGTGGACCCCACTCTGCCTTGCTGGGTGCTGGAACACAGCTGCCCTTGACCATCCTGATAAGGAGAAGCCAGCATCTGTGTGACTGATTGCTCCTTGGGCAGAGTTTATGTGTTCACTTTCCCCCTGATCATGGCCTTCTTCTAGGCGACCCCTCTCACATAAGCAGCCAGGTAGAGGGGTGTGGGCTCACCCCTGTACCTCTTCATCCATTCTCCCTGCTCACAGGGATGCCAGAGGGCTCCTCCACAGCCTACAGCACTGGTAGCTCAAATCCTGCAACTTGTGAGGCTCCCCACCCAGTGCATCCCCCGTGACAGCTTACAACCATGACTATTAAACATTGATCACTCAAATTTAACATCCTATCTTCCCTTTGATATCCTCAACTGCTCTCTGCATAAGACAACAAGCCGCTTTCTGCAGCTCCCTATGAGGGAGACTTCAAAGCCTTCTTCCTCAATCCCTCAGCTCTGCAGCTCTGGGATTCTGCCAGCGAGATTGTCAAGAGGAGGGTTTAGGCAGCCTCTGCTGGCTGCGTCTTTGGGACTCAGACCTGTGGGGGAAACCTCTAGGTTTTAAGTCCTGGAAGTAGACTCTGGGGTGATCTGTGCATGAGTGGGAAGTCAAGGGCATGCTAATTTTTTTCTAGAAATCTGTGGGCCATGGAAAAGGATTTAAATTCAAGGCAGAGGATCTAGGCCTCTATCTTTGAGGAACTGGATTTGGATCCCTGAACTGCCCCCCTGGCTAGCTCTGACTTCTCAGGAAAGTTCTGGATCCTTATCTATTAAATGGATGTGACTATACTTACGTCTCAGCGAAGTCCCTGAACAGGAGGTGTGGGGACCTGGCCCATTACATGACACCATTCTATCTTCTCTTGGTACCACACAGAGCAGATATATTCCTGGAAAGAAAACTTCAGTGACCTAGCACGACAGGTGACGCTGAACTCCTGTAAGGTAGGCACCGGCAGTCACAGCTGGTAGTCTGAGCATCAGTCATCAACATCCCTTTCCCTCACACAATCTGCTGGGGGCTTGTACTGTATTATACCTACGTTAATTACCATAGCTACCACTTAGGAAACATGCCCCCTGGATCAAGGCCAGAGCAAAGTGATTGACCAATGTCACTTTCCATCAGCCCTCCGTGCATCACGGAGGTAGGATTCCTCATGGGATCTATTTCTGCACCAGAGTCTTTCTGCATAGCAGAGTCTACCTCATGTTAACGGCCTGGGGCTTGAAGCCAGATCAGTGGGGTTGAACTCCCAGCTCCTGACTCTGTCTTCTAGCTGTAGTGACACACTCTAAAAGCATGTGGTGCTATATCTCAGTGCCTTGGGGTCTGCAGTGGAAGATGTCAAGGTACAGAGAGATGGAACACAGGATAACAGAAACCGTCTGTTCTATTTCACACACGGATTTCTGAGTAGCCATCCACAGAGTACAGCACCAGTTACAAGGCCATGGCCCCAGGTTCCTTATGGCCCCAGCCTTAAAGAATAGATCATGGTGTCCCTGTCCTCCAGAACCCTGTGGCCTCTAGCCCTCTGACCTGCTGAAGCTGCTAGGAAATGGACCTGCTAGTCTTTCGTGTGGAAGTTTTTCCTGGGAGATGGCACTTGCAATGGAGTGATCTCTGAGTTTGAGGGACACCAGAATCTCCATTCTATTTCTGGTGCATCCTGAGAGATCCCCCAGAAGCTTGGGTCATTGGCTCCACCGCCACCCTCTGGCATCACACAGACTGCACCTGCTCCTTTGCCAGAGATTTCAGAGCCCAGTGTTTTTGCCCAGTGTTCCTTTGTTCCAGGTCATATGGCTCCAAGCCCTCCCTTCAAAACTTCCCTTTGAACATGCTTCTGCAGCCTCTACTTTTGCAGGGGAGTGGGAGATGGAGACAGGGAGAGATGGGAGATGATGCCACACACCTACAGGGGAGCTGCTGGGCCAACACAAAGGCAAAGTACCTGGCTGCAGAAGGGGAGGAAGGGAGGACCAGGGAGATGAGTGACTGGGGTCCTCTCCCAGCCTCCCTTCCTACTGCTCAGAACCCCTTCCCATCCCCTCATGGAGAGCTCAGCATGGCAGCTAACCCATGAGGGATAGCCCCTGCCTTAACCAGAAGTTTTCTCAGTACTATGGGGAAATTGTGGTGTCCCCTAAAGTTTAGGACTGTGCTCTAGATCATATCAGTTTCTAAGGTGTCACCTGCACTTGTTGAAGGAGACTAGACACTTTCTCTGAGAAGAGTCCTCAGGTTATAATGCTCCAGACTTACTGACTTACAACCCTTTCAAAATGGCCAGCTGAGGCAGAGTCACAGTGACCCTTCGCCCAATGGCACCGCTCTTCTTGGGGTATCTGAAATCCCACACATGAAAACATTCCAAACCCCTAATAGTCATTTGTCTTCTTCATATGTTTTCTTTGCTTTCTGTATAATAAGGAAGGGCACTGGAAGGAGGGAGAGGTGGCCTGGCTTTGGGGTCTGAATGAGGACTTACATCATCTTCCCTGTGTTTGGGGGCAATTTAATTACTATCTCCCAAACTCAATCCTTTGCTTGGGAAATAAGGTCAATAATGCATGACTCACAGAGTGTCTGGAAAGACCAAGAGAAATGGCATCGGCAAACTGCCAAGTGCTGGTATACAGAGGGTGCTCAATAAGTACTAATGGACGAGGTAACAATTTCTAGATGTGGAGGAGCCCAGGTGTCTTGATACCCCCTTGTGAATAATGTCTTGATAGAGCATGGGGCTGGGAGGTGGGAAGGAGGACTGGGTTTTCTTGACAGACAGCAGGAGAGCAAGTTTGTGAAGCCAGGAGCCTTCTCCAGCCATTCTGGATCATTCAGCACCAAACCACTCTTTGGCTGCATGTATTAACACGCCTTGGAATAGCTTTATGGAGAATCTACACAAATAGTCAAGGAGTGTGAGCAACCTGGTCTCAACAGCTCTGGGAGACATGTCACCACTGAGGCCCTCAGAACATAGTCACCAGGGATCCAAGAGCAGGCTCGGCTCTGAACCTGACCCTGGAAGACATCACAAACGGACCCATTATCCCATGTTATCACTCCCACGCAGCTTCATTTGTCAAACCACACTGCTGTTTGGAGAGGTGGGATGGAGGACCCCAGCAGGTATCCATGGTGCTATGCTGCAGCCCAGATCTGCACTGACCCCTGCAGTTGCCTCCAAAGTGTGCCTGGCTCCATACTGGTGGCCTTGCGCCATCTCCTAGAATGCTGCAGTGGTCTGGGAATTAAATGGTATTAGTTCCATCCAGCCACAAAGGAGGGACAAAGAAAAGGAAAGACCTGGCCTGAGGTCACTTTGCCAGAAACTGTGAGATCAGGACTGAGACCTTTGTCTGGCATTGTTCACGTGGAGGCGTTAAGAAGAGCTCTCTTCTCACCCAACCCCCTCCCTGGTACCAATCTTATTAATCAATATTGCATTATCTCCATGCTTGAGGAAGCTGATGTCAGCATGCTTAAGGGACTGGTTCAAAGTCACACATATGATGTCATGTGAAGTTGCTTTGGAACCCAGGTTTGTTCCTTTTCAGAATCCCTAACACTGGTCATTCCCTTGGGGTTTCAGCCTCAAGTTCATTCATCTATCACCAAACCTGTTTTCAGTTGCAACTAGAGAGAAGGCTCTTAGTCAGACACCTGGGGTCACAGAGGTGGCCATACCATGGTCTCTGCCCTCAGAAATCTCATCCAGCCTTCCAGCTACCAAGAGACTCCTTGGCCATGACCAATCTGACCCTTTCCTCTGAATTCACTTGGATGTAGTTATTAAAGAGGCAGGATCAGTGTGTGGGTGTGGGTGTGGGGTTGGGGGGGGTTCCATTGGGGAAGCATGATGAGTACTCCTGTTCCTGCCTCAGCCCTCAGAAGCTCTTCCATTTGCTCCTTGCTCCGGCTGTCACCTCCATTGGCATCTCTTATCCTTGCATGGAATCAAATCAGAAAAGAGGCGAGACAGCACAATGACACCAATTGACTTGCAAGCGTTGACACACTTCACCTCCAATCACTTCCCATTGGCTGGAGCAAGCCATCTTTGAAATGACTACATCTAAAGTGGGTCGAGATGCTCATGTTCTACAAGCCTTAGAGAAGAAGAGAACTGGAATATTTACAAATCACCAGGATACTTGACTACAAAAAAAAAATCAAAACAAAAACAACAACAAAAAACAGTAAAACTACTGTAATTTGAACATGAATGCTGTGGGATGTTCTGTATGGCAAATATGTTGCTCTGATTGGTTAGTAAATAAAACACTGATTGGCCAGTAGTCAGGCAGGAGGAAGTATAGGCGGGACAAGGAGGAGAAGAATTCTGGGAAGTGGAAGGCTGAGTCAGAGACACTGCCAGCCGCCACCATGACAAGCCGCATGTGAAGATGCCGGTAAGCCACGAGCCACGTGGCAAGGTATAGATTTCTAGAAATGGATTAATTTAAGCTATAAGAACAGTTAGCAAGAAGCCTGCCATGGCCATACAGTTTGTAAGCAATATAAGTCTTTGTGTTTACTTGGTTGGGTCTGAGCAGCTGTGGAACTGGCGGGTGACAAAGATTTGTCCTGACTGTGGGCAAGGCAGGAAAACTCTAACTACACATGAAACTTTTCCTTCAAGGCTTGAGTGCCAAGTGGACTCTGATGCAGTGTTCAGAGGTGGGAAGGGACTGTATGCAGCATGAGTGCTCTGAGCTCATCAGTGGATAGATCTGTTGATGGATTCATAACTTAACAGTCTGTTGTAAAGGGGGTGGAAGCAGAGAGATGAGTCATGACCAGAAAGAGGATCATATATGTTACTTGTGCTGGTAATTCCTGTCAGTAACTATCTTCAATGTTCTGTCAGCTAGCTTAGATAATCCACAGGAATGTGGTACGCGTTGCTGTGTCATTTGCATTTTACAGATGGGAAAACTGAGACCCAGAGAGGCAATCAGCTGGGCTGTCATACACCGTGGATTTCCTCCTGCCAAGTTGGACTTGAGGGTCAAGGCTTTCATCTCGTGCGTGCTATTGGAGAGAATGAAGAAGCTAAGTTGCTCTGATGGGTCTGCTCTCACCTTCTGGTCTTTCCATCTTAGAAGGGTTGTCCCCATTTCGAGGCAGAGTCCTTGGCTGGGCCTTGCTTTCCTCTCTGGCTCACATCTCCCTCTCTGCTAGATCTTTGCCTCAGCCTGGAAATGAGCCAGCCTCTCAGCAGCTTTGTGTGGCAGAGGAAAGGCTCTGTTCTGGAAGCCACTCAGTCCCAAGTACCTGGCTCCTGCATGCTTTCTTCACACCTCTAGAACATCATGGAAGGGAGGAAGGGGAAAGAGAGCAGGGGTGGAGGATGAAGAGAAGTGCCGTGAGAAGCTGTTAACTGGATATATTATATATGATATATATATGATGGCTCTGGTTATCTGCATGAGACCTCCACAAGATCGAGCCATCCATATTCCATCATAGATGAGAGAACGGTGCTCATGGTGCTCCTGGTGCTCCGACCCTGTGTGAGGAGCCAGTAGGGGTGAACGGTTGGTGGAAGAGGTGGAGTCATTTTCTCAGTGCTGTAGCCCCTGTGAAGCTGCCCGTGTTCCAGTCAACAACATCCACCGCAAGCCATGCTCATGCAAGAAACCCTAATTAAATGCAGTGTGGCAGAAAACATAACAAACAAAACCCACAAACCAACCAAAAGATGTGAAAACAGGGACAGGGGGTGAGGCTTGTTAGAAAAAAGTCGGGATTCAGTGGGAGTGGAAGGGTGATGGGGAGGGAAATGACCCAAATACGTTATATACATGTACAAAATTGTCAAAGAAGGTGAGGTGGGGTGAGGTGGGGTGAGGTGGGGTGAGGTGGGGTGAGGTGGGGTGAGGTGGGGTCAGGTGCTCCTTCTGGTGTGAGGCAGTGAGGGCCAGGCAGACTTTGTGCGTATTTCTTCCTGTTTGTGCAGATGGAGGCCAGGGCTTCTGTCTGGAGAAGGCTGGGGTCTGTGCCATGGGGGTTGCAAGGTCCAAGCAGCCTGGACCTTGGGGTCAGCACTTGTAGGACGACCTTGTGTAAGAGCAGCAGGAATGCTTCACAGCATGGCATGGGCAGGTGCTGCTCCTCAGCTGGGTCAAGCCTTTGAGAGCTGGGGATCTTTGCATTCGAGCCCTGGCACCCTCTCTTTGGACCAATACCGCACTGTGGTTGATGCTCACTGCCATGGATTTGTAAAACTGGTACAGGTTCCCCCCAAACACCTTACTCTCATTTCATCCCCTTTCTTAAGGACTCAGTCTAAGATCCCTCTTCAACAAGAGCCAGAGACTGAGGGCTAAACAGCCTCATCTGCATCCTGAAAACAGTCTGTAGTCCCTTTCCTGGGAGTGTACCTTTTCTGTCTCCCAGGGAATCAAAGGCCAGGGGTGGCAAATCAGAGGTCTGGAGAATGGTTGAAATTGGACTCACCAACAAAGTAGGACTCCACTGTAGAGTCTCAAGACCCAGGGTTATGGATTGTGTTCTGTTGGTAGGGAGTGGCCAGGGAAGAAAAATGTGGCCAGGACCATGGTTACTAAGGAAACTAACCAACTGTCACAAACCTCATTGTCCATTTCTGAAGGCTGAGATGAGGGTTTATCACTCAGGGGAACTCAAACAACCACTAAGAACAATAGGGTGATCTTTGTGCACACACATGGGCTCATTTTTGAGACAAATCACTGAGATTAAAGTGATTAAGGTGAAACATTTAATTTATTAAGTGTTTATTAAGGTGAAGCACTTTATTTATTTGACAAATGTGTGCAAATGAGCGTGGAAGAAGAGACCTGTTCATCCATCTATCCCTATATCCTTACGTCTATCTTTTCCATATAGTGTGCAGCAATCACTAACAGCTTTTGCTTCTATGGAGGAGAACTGAGAGTGTGCTTGTTCTGGTTTCATTCTGCTGCTGTGATGAAATATCCTGGCGGAAAGCAATACAAGGGTGGCAAGGGTCTGTTCAGCTCACAATTCCAGGTTCTGGTCCACAGAGGCAGGAGCTGGTGACCGCTGACCACATCACCTCTGCAGTCACAGGCAGGGAAAACCGAACACAGCCATGCTGTCTGCTGGCCACTGTGCTGGACTAGCTTTCTTTACTTCTATACTCCACCTCTATTAACAATCCAGACAGTCCCCTACAGACATGCCCACAGGCCAAACTGATCTAGACAATGCTTCATTAAGACTCTCTTCCAGGATGACTCTGGGTCCTGATGGCTTGACATTTAACAGCCACCAGCAGAGAGGAAGACTGAGTTTCTGTACACGTTTGCACTAGCTGAACTTTGAAGTGGATGCTTTCTTTCCCAGTGGAGTCCATGTGTGTTCTGCTTGAAGAGTAGATTGCGGCTCTCCACTGTCATGCTGAACACAGTCACCATCCAAATGAGCTGAGAGGACTTGAGTCCAGCCATGTCTAGTGGGTCATCATAGCCTGCCTGTTCTCACCAGAAAGCTCCGTCCTCTCAGCCCAGCACAAGGGGGCGATGGGTGGGGCAGCTCTGGCAGCCAGGGATGGGCAGGAGCATGTGTAACTATCTAGCATGTGACAAGGGTGGAGAAGATTGGTTATTCAGCAAATGACGTGGGAGGAAATTCAGTCAAACTCTTAACCCAATCATAAACAAACAAACAAACAAAAAAAACATCCTGGTGAATAAAAAAAGGCTTGTATACACAAATAAAGTCACAAAGACACTAGAAGGAAATTCAGGTCAGACTTGACCCAGTGTGGAGGACCATTTGAAGGCAGTGATAGATAAAAGGTATTATGGAGACAACTCTGACAGGCAAGACTGTATGAAGTTATTACTACAATATGCACGGGTATGGTAAAAACACCGAAAGGTAACAGGAAAGCTACCTTTTTTGGTATGCTTATAAGATGTAGTGTGTTAATATGCTTGATTTATACAGAAAGCTCATAACAATGAGAGAAAGATAAACATGCCAAAAGTGAGGAAAAGTGATGGACAGAAGAGAAAAACAAATGGTCAGTAAAAGTGAAAATGATTCATGTTACTATTTTTAAAAACCAGAGCTCATTAAAATAGCCACAGGATCTCATTTTGCCACTTTCTGACTTTTTTTTTTTAATGGAAAAGTTGTTTTTCTTTTATTTCTTAAGACAGGATTTCATGTTGTCACTGTGTGAGTGTGTGTGTATGTGTGTGTGTGTGTGTGTGTGTCTGTGTGTCTGTGTGTCTGTGTGTATACAGTGCATGTGTGGAGGTCAGAACAAAACTTTGTGGAGCTGATGCTTCTCTTCCCCATGGATTCCAGAGATCAAACTCAGACCCCCGAGCTTGGTAGCAAGCTCTTTCACTCAAGGAACTGTCTTCTCAGCACAGAAAACGATTCCTGGTTTCTGACATGTTTGTCCAGTGTATGTACACAATAACCTCTGGTTCACTTACATAAACATCCCCACCGAGATGGCAGGGTTCACCAAAAAAGTCCAACAGTAGCTGCCTCTGGTGACTCTTACTTCTACTATGTGTTGTAAAATCACTCTATGTCATAAAAGCTGATCAGTAGGCAGCAGTTCCTGGAAAAGCAGTGAAAACACGTACCTGGAACTTATCTCCTCAATTATAGGTATTTATGACAGAGAAGCAACCAGTGACCTGGGAATGGATGAAGGCTCTCAGACATTCATCACAGCACTCCAAACAATGGCAAAAAACTGGAGATAACCCGAGAGTCCCAATCTAGAAGATATTTAAGTTAATGATGGATCAGAATAATGGAATTCCCGTGTTATGATAAACAAGTGAGTTATGGTGTGGTGTTCCTGAAGACTGAAAATATATTATTGAGGATAAAAAGGAAGTAGGGCCAGACTCCAAAGCCACAGATGTAAGATGATCCTTGTTTCAAAGAGACAGAAATATTAGTCAACTCGTTGAAGGCAAGAGCTACTGTTCGACATTCTTATATGGTTTTAAGTTGTTCTGCATGGTATGTATCCCACACTTTTCTTTCTTCTTCAGAAAAATATGAAAACAACCTAAATTGAGAGGATAAAAAAAATACTAGGGAAACTATCCACATTCCAAGTGGTATGTATATGTGTTCATGCACTCACATTTAACCTAGAAAGGGCCATGGAGAAAAATATAAACATCTTGAAAGGGGGGGGGGCGGAGTTGCATGAGACGTATAAAAGCCACTAAGAAAAGAAACATCGCCCTTCAGTTAGTATGTGATTAGAGGTTGTTTCAGGAGGTGATGCTGGGAGGGGACAGGGATGCTGGGAGGGAAGGGGGATGCTGGGAATACGAGGTGTTCAGTTATCTCACTGGTTACTTCATCAGGGCACCCAGAAGCTCCCTCGAGGTGATCCAGAGGTTCAATGCTAAGAAAGCAACCACAGATGAACAGAAAAATGCGTGGCAAGCATGCTCCCTGCAGCCTGCTCGCTGATGACGAAAGCCTTGGAACAGCAGCAGCCCTCACGGGGAAGGTTTGGCGTGGCTGGTGATCGCGGCACAGGTCTATAACAGGACACCTGCAGTCCCCAATCCCACAGGACCTTAGAGCTAGCAGATTGGCCCGAGGCTTGCTGCAAGTTTAGCATGTCCAAAGCCTAACCTTGAACTAAAGAGGCTTTTAATAGCCATCCTTGACCTCAGCATGGATATTTTCGCAATGTTTTCTTGTCTTGATGTTGCCTTTGAGTCCAGGCTACTTTTGAGGTCCCACCTCCAGTGCTTCATAAAACACTTTTACCTCATCTTGCCTTACCACAATCCAAATAATTATGAATTCTCAAATAGCTGGTCCAAAATTTTAGACAATATTCAAATAAAGGAATCTTATTATGTCACTTAAACATACCTTTTTCAGAGTGTTGTCAGATGTTTTCATTAATTACACATTTTTCTAGTTGTTAGATAACAAAAAAATAGGATATCAAATTGTGCATTATCTTAAAAAAACAGAAGTAGGTATCTTCAAATTTTTTAAAACACTGAAAAGACTTAAGGGGATCTATTAAAAATTTAATGAAGTTTATAAATATGAAATTATGAGCAATTTCAATTTTCTTCTCTATAGGTGTTTTTAGAAGCCCAAAGTAAATTCTGGTGATTTTCCATCTCATAGAAAGTAAAACAGAAGTTGGCAGAGGCAGTGGCACAGTGCTGTCAATAGCCTTCAGGAGGGTGAGGCAGGGGGATGGATACAGCTTGGGCTATGTAGGAAATCCCTGTAGCAATAAAACAAAAGAACAACAATAACACAAACACACAGCTATGGTTCCAAAACAACCAATCGAGAACTTTCTTAGTCAGAACGCCCCCCCCCCCCCACCAGCCACGGCTCAGACTTAGTCTTTCTGATTCCAGGTTATTTCTCCTCAAATGTGTGTAACTAAGCCCCATTTTTGTTTTTTAAATATTGCTTAACAGAATATTAGTAAGTGATGCTGTAATTTGGATCCTAACCCTCTCCTCTAGGCCAGTGTGGTCTGGGAAGGATCGGTCCCCAAAGTGGGGCTATCAGGAGGTGCAGAACCTTTGAGAGGCAGGTCTTCCTATCACCGCAGGAGTGTCCCTGAAGAGGAGAGTGGGACCACAGAACCCCCTCTTCCTTTTCCCATTGCTTCCTGCTGGCCACAGGGTGGGTGACCAGCGCTGCTTCACTGCCTCTGCCTGACATGCTGTCTTGCCAGAGGCTCACAAGCCATAGACCCAGCACCTCCCTGAGACCTCCAAAGTGTGAGATGAAAGAACCTTGCCTCTCCCTAACTTGGTTATATCAAGTATCTGTTACAGTAAGGGAAAGCTGCTGATCCCAAAGGCCAAGAGCTGCTTCTTATAAACAGGCACACACTGAAAGGCTGATAATCAGGACTTTCAGCAGGACTTTTCTGGGCCTTTGTAGTCAAGGACACAGGACGATGCCGAGGGTAAGAGAGAACATTCTGAGCTCCTCCAGTGCATTTGAATGCACATCTCTTCACTTCTGTTTCATTTTATTTGCATTTTGGTTCAGGTTCTCTTGTGGAAAATCTTCAAGGACATCTTAGGAACGTCTTTTACATAGCATAATTTGGAAATGCTAGCTCCGTAGAAAACTCCATTCTTAAAACTGAAGCAAGAGCAGTGCACAAAAACCATTTCCAGGGTAGTAAGAACACTGACCTTCACAGATCTGTGGGCTCCCCACAAACATGGGAAAGTCACGCTGCTGCCAGGGTGTGCTTGTGCCCTTGAGAGACACCACTGTGACCCCAGGTGACTGGCAGAACACACAGGACAGATCCTGTTGGCAAGTCCACCGAGGCAGAAGACTTAAGCCTGCAGATGTCATTCTCTGAATACCAGAATTTTCTCCTCCGTGACATGCAGAAGATGGGGAGGTAGTGAAAAAACCTAGCTGAGGGCCTGCAGCAAAGTCGGGGGAGGGCTTACTGATGCCAACTTTGTGGTAACCTTTGCCAGCCCACTCCTTGTCTCCATGTGTAGTAACTTCATAAATGAATGAATGAATTGGTGGGGGTAGGGGAGCAATTTTGTTGTATCTTCTTTGCCAATTCTAATCAGTGGGTAAGAGCCTCTTGGAGGCTTCAGGCTGAATCCCTGCTGTGATTGATTACTAATGTCTGCCTTGGGCATAGGTAGGATAGTGTGGCAGTATTGTTGCATTTTTTTTTTTTGCCCTGAGAGTTGGGGGACATCTAAATAGTCCTGAAGACTGAGCTGCTTGGGCAAGGACACATGGGAGTCAGCCCCCAAACCCAGCTTTTGTTTCATACTCTGATAATCTTTATTTAGATCTTACTCTCTTTTAACTACTGAGCTTCTAAACTCTTGGCTTTGGTCTCTGTAATAGCCAAGCAATGGTTTTTCTATAGCATTTTTTTTTACTCCCTTTCTTTCAGTCTCTTGCCAGGGATGAAACTGTTTTTACTAAAAGGGGAAAAAGGGAAAAAATACATATGAAAAAAATCACACATCCTCACCATGTGCAAAAATCGTGTTTGGCACCGAGAATATTTTTTTCTGAGGCCAAATGGATTTTTTTTTCTTTTGCAAAATGAGTAGAAAAAGAAAGCCATACTTTTCCAAAAGCTGGTATTGAATTATTGGCCCTTGTCAGTCGCTGTCACTAAGGGCCTCTGGTCATGAGAACTTGTGATACTGGGGGAATGGGAGTCCTGGGGATTCTGATGTTAGCTTCATCTCTTCACAGGGTAAGGACTGCAGCACACAGCACACAGCCCAGCAGTTGGCAGATCCATCATCTTGAGTATTAGAGGGAGCTGGATGGAGAAGACAGCTAGGCTGGATATTTGTGACAGCTCCATCAGACACTAGCTATGTGACCTTGGGCAGAACCCTTAACGTCTCTGAGCCTTAGTCTGATCATAACAATAAAACATACAGTAAGTAGTCCCTGCATCCCGGCATTCAGCCGGTTGCCACAGGTAAGAATGTCTAGAGAATAAGACAGGATGCTGTGAGTTTAGTACAGAAGGACATTTGAGGACATGGGATTTCCCTAGTCATTTTAGGGTCTCACCTGTGATGCCATAACAGAATGCTTGATTCTGGATAATTTACAAATGATAAACACACTGGTGATTAAGTTTCAACACATGCATTTACATGTCAGCTTCAGACCACTGGAAATCTAGCTTATTGTGTGACACAGCAAGGCATGGAGTCCTTGTAGCCACAAGATGCTCAGAAAGAGAGGCAAAGAGGAGAGTAGCCATTCAGGGAACCTGGGGCCCAAAGTTCAGTAACAAAGCTTGGAATGGTCACTGTGGCCAGAAATGGAGATGGCAGAGAGAATTCTGGAGCTGGCATTTAGTTGTTTTAGGGAGAATGCATCTGGGTTGGAATACAGTGGTGCAATTAAATTCTTGAGGTGGCTTGGGCAGACAATGAATTTGTCTCTCAAGGAAGAGTTAGCTGTGCCTGGGGCCATGGTGATAAGTGACCTGGAACTGCTTTCTACCGTCCTTGACCTCCAGCCTAGCATGAACACTGCAGCCGGAGGTCCCTGCTTGATAGCAATGGTTGAATTTCATGGATGAACTTGGGTGCTGCTGGAGGCGTTCCTGAGGAGTGTGGAAGGAGGACTCCAGGAAGCTTTACTGAAGGATAAGCAGGTCTGCAAAGCCACGAGGCTCCTAGCTACAGGGCTCTCACCATGATGAGGATGGAGAGGTAGGGCCAGCAGGATGGTGGGGTCTTGATCTGAGTTACCCCAAAGTGAATGAGGGGCTTGGAGCTCCATAGGAAGCCATTTTATAGCCCTTTTAGAAAAATGTCGCTTCCCTTTTTAGGATAACAAGAGAAGGTTCTCATCAAATGCATCTGTGTAAGGTCAAAAACCAACTAGCTTAATGAGCATCAATTCCTGCTACATGGGTGGGAGGAAAAGGTCAGTGCTGGCTGGGCCATGAAGGATGATGGAGGTCTACACAGACCAGGTTCTCTCTCTCTCCTGTTCTGGGGTGCCAGTGGCACAAGAGGTTTTGCCACTAGATTCAGAAGAAATGTCAGAGCCATAGGCCCTGGCAAGAGTCTGTTATCACAGCTCAAACCCTTTAGGCACAGGGATTCCAGTGGTTCAAAGGACATTTCCTGCCCATTCCAGATGCTTCCTTCATAAGAGCATTAACAAACTGCATACCTATTTATCCAGGACCCCCAAGGTCATCCCTTTACCTATTCAAGTATAGCTTGAAGATGCTTTTCTAGGCTTGGGGTGAGCTGACCTCACAAGAGGTGTTCTGCTCACCTCCACTTGGTCACCTATAATACACCCATAGTATGTGGTTCCTGTCCACAGAATGGAAACCACAGGCCTTCAGAAGGCAGTCAGGAGACTTTGCCATCCTTTTATGCAGGCAGGTGAGAGCCTCTAGTGAATACTTAGCCTCAAGTGTTATATCACCTGATGCTGCTCCAATTCTGTCTTCCTTCACTGCTGGCACCTTTGTCCCTTGGGAGTCCAGGCAGATCCCTTGAGGGTCATGTCAGAAGCCAGGAGGAGCATACTGTCCCAGCCCTCGAAGCATTCTAGCCATTTTTAGACATCCCGGCTTCTATTCACCTGGCTTCCTGGCCCAAGGCTGCTGTCTTCCTGCCCTTGGAGCCTCAAGGGACCTGTGCTTTGTGTCTGGGAGTGGTGATGAGTTATCCATGTACTTAGCACTTATGAACCTCCCGAGGAGGCAGGCAGTAGGTAGCTCAGAAATTGAGACTGGAGAACCCACCAGCTATGTGGACACGAGGAGGTACTAACTGTTAAGGGAGCTTGGTTTCCTCATCCGTGAAGAACCTATGCCTACATTCATTGGAAGAATGTTGGGAAGCATGCACAGGGCTGGGACCTACTGCCTGCCATTCATTCTGGCTCACTGGCAGCTGGTGTCATCGCTGTTTGTCACAATTCCTGTGGCAGCTCCGAAGGTGGTGACTATTGGTGTAATGGGACATACAGCATTCCACTGTGGTGTTCAGCCCCAGGGCCAGCTTTGGAGGTCATGCTCATATCTCCAGGGCTGGGGCTACGTCCACAGGTCTCATGCCTTCCCATAACCTGAGAAGGCTCCCGAGCTGCAAGGCTACCAACACCGTTGGGTAGTGCTGGTCAATACAGTGGCACCCAGGAGTATAAGGGTTACTTTGGGACAATCTTTGGAGGACAGAGCTTGGGTAACAGAGCTTGGGTAGCCAGCCCTCTGGTACTCTGATGTCACTTGCCAAGGTGAGGGTCCAGTTATGTCGCCTTCCTCAGACTCTGCTTGAGCTCTTACAGGTGCCTGGCTGGTCCTGAATGCTGGGCACTAGGTTTGGAAGGCTTGGTGCTGGGTGCTTTGACAGAATAGATAGATTTTACTCACAGACCCAGACCTGCGGACATTTGAGTAAGGCATACAAATGGAAGGATACAAACAAGCTCTTAGATTTCCTGTGTGCACAGAGCAGAGGGTGAGGGAATTCCTTTTTTTCAGCCATGTGAGGCAGGGATGGATGCTCGCTGCATGAAGAAGGACCCTGGAATCCGTGTGTGTGTGTGTGTGTGTGTGTGTGTGTGTGTGTGTGTGTGTGTGTGTGTGTGACAGGCAGGTCTTGTTTCTGATGGCAGGGATCTTAGCCCCA